GCCCGCGCCCGCTGGCCCCTCCTTCTCTCTCCTGCTCCTCTTTCCCCCCTCCTCCTCCTCGTCCTCCTCCTCCTGCTCCTGCTGCTCCCCCTCCCCCTCCTCCTGCTCCTCCTCCTTCTTCCCCTCCTCCTCCTCCTCCTCCTCCTCCGCCTCCTCGGGAGACCGACCCTGGGCGCCGGACTCCTCCTCCTCCTCCTCCGCCTCCTCCTCCTCCTCCTCCTCCTCCTCCTGTCGCACCCCGAAGCAATCCTCTTGTCGTACCCCGAAGCCAGTTTTTAGGGCGGGCCGGGCGCTTCGCATGAGACTCCCGCACCATGTATGACCGTGACTCTAAAAAATGGGCAACAGTTCCACAGATTGAGGGCGGGCCGTTTTCAACATGTGGCTCTCGCCTTAGCGCCGCGCGCATTCGTAGACAACAACCTGCAAGAGTTTCGCGGATTGAGGGCGGGTCGTTTTCAAAATGTGGCTCTCGCCTTAGCGCCTCGTACATTCGGCTCAAAACAATTGCACGAGTTTCGCGGATTGAGGGCGGTTCCTTTTCAAAATGTGGCTCTCGCCTTAACGCCGCGCACAGCCGTTTTTTTGTATTATGTTTTTGTTGTAAAAACAATTTGCAAGAGTTTCACGGCTTCCCATGATCAGCGTACCAGAAATGGTGTTCTGGAAGGATTCAGGATTATGAGTGTGCAGCAGTTATGTTGATTCGCGGTGTTGAAGTCCCAGGTCTGGCGTTCTGGCACCATTCAGGATCGTCAAGACCCAGCAGTCACGTTGATCCGTGGCGTTGGAATCCCGAGAACAATGTTTTGGCATGGTGCTTCAGGGCCTTCAAACGGTTGTCTTCCAACGAGGCAGTTCCCCCACTGGAAATGAACCGTTTTAGGGGCTTGTGAAGAGGGAGCTTGGAGGGAGGGTTTATTCCAACATCTTTGATGACATTCGGGTTTATTCTGGTTCTCCTCCTTCTCCTGCTGCCAATCCTCCCCCTGCTCCTCCTCCTCCTCCTCCGCTCCCTCTCCCTCTCCTCCTCCTCTTTCTCCTCCTCCTCCTCCTCCTCCTCCTTCTCCCCGTCCTCCCCCTCCTCCCTCTAGAAGAGGGCCCCCTAAATTCTGCAGCAAAAACCTAGAAGGGGGGGCCCATCGGAGAGGACATGTTTGTCACCTTCCCCGGGGCTGCGAGCCACCCGGGTGAGGCCCGGCGACGGCCCCCCCCTTCCAGCTTGCAGGGAGTGCAGAGCCAGGCCGCTGTCGACAAGCTGCCGTGCTCTCCGCGGCGCTGCCAGCGGGGCCCAGGACTTCCCCGGAGGTGCCTGCCCCGCGCGGTAGGTCCCTGAGCGCTCGAGGCCCCCAGGCCGAGGCACGGCAACTGCAGGCACTCCTGAAGCTGGGCTTAAATCGGGCCTGTCCCTCTACAGGGGGAATATTCAAAAGCAGTCACAAATAGTCTGGGGACTATTTTTTAAGAGTATCTTTGGGCATGTGTTGAGTATTGTTTGAATACTTTTTATTTTTCGTCCAAAATCCCGCTGTAGGGGGACAGGCCCGACCTAAAGCTGGCCGGAACAGTGACCCCCCCAGCTCCACAGGCGGCGTAAGCGACACCTTTGGCGCCCGTGGCGAGAGTGATGGGAAAAGCCTGGTGTGTCACAGTGCCCGTCGCGGCGGAGGATGGCGAGGGCCAAACCAGCACGAGCCAGCACAGGCGCTACAGCGGCGGGTGGAGGCTCCACGACGCACTCGGGCTTGGGCGCTTTCTTAGCCCGATGTCCCGAAACATGCGTGCAGTCCAGGTCGGGCATCTTGCAACCGATGCGGGCGACCCAGGAGGTAAGAAGCGAGAGAAACCTTGGCCTGGGAGCGGACATTGTTACGACAGCGCAGCGGAGCACGAGTGATGCTGGCAGCCTCCTTGGCAGACTTATCAACAAACATGTTACCCTCGCGTTTCCTCTCAGTTACCCGCCCCCGTTCAATGTCCACAACACTGATGTGGGCCTCAAGCGCATGCAAACGGAGAGATTCGCCACCATCTCAAGATATGTTCTTGTAGCAGTGCACTCATAATCGTTTCGCGGAGGTGTTATGTCGCGGTGCTGCCCGCTCCGCTCCCTCTTCTCCTCCAACATTGTGCTGGGAAAGGGATTGCAAGCGGAGAGCCTCGACCCCACCCCACCATCATCAATGGCGGCTAACACCATTAGCCATACGCCCACGCCGCTTTGGCTGATACACAATAAGACAATAAGCCATGCAACGCTCATTGCACATCAGAAACAACAAACTGGGAGTCTGTCCCGAACGAGGCACTGGGCAACAAACCTGGCGGAAGAGGCCTCCAGTGAGCACCGCGGCCGACATGGGCCGACCGTCCTGAGGGGCCACGACGGCCCAGCCCGAGCTGTGAGCTTCGAAGGGGGAGATCCCCGTCCAGGAGGCTTCCGTCCAGACTCAGGCGATCGCAAACATGGATCAAGGGGGCGTGGATTAGCGACGGGTCCCGTTTTCATTTTTGCGCGCCCCCGACAAAAGGGATCCCCGTCCAGGAGCCCAGGATGACCTTTCGACCAGAGCTCGTCGGGAGGAGGGGGAGGAGCGGAAGGAGACGCGGGCATCGGCAGCAGCAGCAGCCTCTCCACAGGCAGACGGACGAGGAGGGGTGATGAGAGCTCCTCAACACGGCGCGGGCCTCTGTAGGAGTCTCAGGCTGGACGTTCTCATGTCTTGGGCATGCTAGTTTAAGTCGGGCATGCCCCTGAACAGGAGGAGTCTTCAAAAATAGTCAAACGTAGGATGGGGAGGATTTTCTGACTATTGTTGAGCATTTTTGAATGTTCCGCCTGCAGGAGGACATGCCCGACCTACCGCTAGGTGCCTGTGGGTAAGGGTTCCAGGAGGCTCGCAGCACACCTGACACTCGACAACGTCGGTGAGCTGACAGGATGCCTGCCGAGCTGGAGGCCACTGGGGCCTGGGTGGCCCCTGTGAAGGATCCGAGGCTCGTGGGTTGCGGACCCAACCATCCAGGCTGAGGAGAGGTCTCTTTCCTGGTGGGTTTCACGCTCGGATCGGCGAGGCGACAGGTCCGTCCGCGGCGCAGGTGGAGGCCTGGATGCCGCGCCTCGCCTCCCTCTCCCCAGGCGCGCCCGGCGGTGGCGGCGGCCAGCAGGACAGGCGGGCTTGTAGATCTGAACCGTCCCTTCCCCGCTACGGCTTCTCGCTACTTCGGTTGCTGGATCATGAGGTGGCGAGGTTGCACGGATTTGATCGCCCGACCGCCGTCGTAGATTCTGCTCGGTGGTGTAAGGCTGTCGAGTCCAGAGTTTCACAAGACGAGCTCCCTCCAGAGGGGGACTGTTGAGCTCGCTTCCTGTGTCTTCGGACGAGGGGGCATCCCCCCCGCATAGTCAGTCTCAGTCTCAGTCTCAGCCTTTACTCCTCCCTCTCTTCCACGTTCTCGTCCTCGTCCGCACTTCCACCTCCTCACCCTCCTCCACCAAATCCCCTTCTTCCCTTCCTCCACCTCCTCCTCCTCCTCCTCTTCGTCCTCCTCCTCCCCCTCCTCCTCCCCCTCCCCCTCCCCCTCCTCCTCCTCCTCCTCCTCCTCTTCCTCCTCTTCCTCCTGCTCCTGCTCCTGCTCCTGCTGCTCCTGCTGCTCCTGCTGCTCCTGCTGCTCCTGCTGCTGCTGCTGCTGCTGCTGCTGCTGCTGCTGCTTCTGCTACCGCTGCTGCTGCTGCTGCTGCTGCGCCTCCTCCTCCTCCTCCTCCTCGTCCTCCTCCTCCTCCCCCCCCCGCAGTGAGCCTCCCTGGCTGCCCCTGCGCGCCGCGTCCTGAAGCCCGTGGTCGGCGGACGTGCCGATTGGACAGAGTACAAGAGGGGAGGCAGGGAGGGGGCGAGGAGGAGGAAGAGGAGGAGGAAGAGGAGGAGGAGGAGCAAAAAGGAGGAGGAGGAGCGAGGAGCGAGGAGGAGGAGGAGGAGAGAGGAGGAGGAGGAGTAGGAGAAGGATGATGAGGAGGAACAGCATGAGGAGGAGGAGGAGGGAAGAGGAGGAGGAGGAGGAGGAGGAGGAGGACGAGCAGGAGGATTAGAAACGAGGAGGAAGAGGAGGAGGAGGAGGGAAGAGGAGGAGGAGAAGGAGGAGTAGAAGGAGGAGGAGGAGGACGATGACGGTGATGATGATGATGATGACGATCACGATGACGATAGCGATGACGATGAAGCTGACGATGACGGTGACGATGACGACTGCGATGCTGCAGACGATAATGAGGCTGAGGATGCTGAGGATGCTGATGATGATAATGACGATGCTCCTAATGATGATGATGATAGTTATGCAGATGCTGATGATGCTGATGATGCTGATGCTGATATTGATGATGCTGATGTTGCTGATGATGAGAATGACGCTGGTGACGACGAGGGGGGATGATGATGCTGCTGATGCTGCTGATGCTGCTGACGACGAGGATGACGATACTGTTGATGCTGATGCTGATACTGTTGCTGATGATGTTGCTGCTGATGGTGATGCTGATGCTGATGATGATGCTGCTGATGATGTTGATTTTGATGATGGTGGTGGTGATGATGATACTGATAACGATGAGGGTGGTGGTGATGTTGCTGATGGCGATGTTGATGATGCTGGTGATGATGTTGATGACGGTAATGCTGATGATGCTGATGATGTTGCTGCTGATGCTTCTGATGGTGATGCTGATGGTGGTGATGCTGATGCTGATGATGATGCTGATGCTGCTGATGATGATGATGCCGATGACGATAATGATGATGCTGACGATGATGCTGATGACGATGATATGGTGATGATGATGACGATGCTGATTATGATGATGATGCTGCTGATGATGATGCTGCTGATGATGATGCTGACGATGATGATGATGCTGACGATGATGATGACGACGATGATGATGATGCTGCTGATGATGATGATGATGATGATTATGATGATGAGGATGATGATGATGATGATGC